CACACACACACACACACACACACACAGAGAGAGAGAGAGAGAGAGAGAGAGAGAGAGAGAGAGAGAGAGAGAGAGAGAGAGAGAGAGAGAGAGATTGGCAACATTTTAGATTCAGACTCGACATTGGGGCAGAGACATTGTGGGGGACTATTTGGGATCGATATCGACGACATTGTGTTGATGACATTCACATTGCCTCCCTCCTTTTCGTCTGATCCCCCTCGTCCTCATCCGTGTATGATCTGAGCCTGGCGCATTCTTCCTGTGTGTGGCGCCAGGCCCTTCACACCTTGTGATGATGGTGATATATGTTTGTCTGCATTGTGACATTGATTGGTCTGATTATTGGTATTTCAGTCTTCCGCTGTGCTATCTTGCTGTATCTGAGAGAGGTCGGTTCTTGGTTCTGGTCTGCACCATATTGGTATGCGACACCAGTCCTACAGTCTTTTCCGAATACAACACACCCTCAGCATGACTGTATCAGACCAGAAAGATAACTTGTGTGCATTCATGATTAGGTTTGTATTTGGATGAAGACGATAGTGTGGACGGAAGTCTCCCTGGCCTACAATGGCCACTAAGTTCACTAACCAAACGGAGGCTCAGAACGGGCATCTCTACAAACATACACATTAGAATGAAAAGTGGCGCTTGTCTGAATGTGGACAAAACCAGAAAGGAAAAAGTCAATGCAAATAATAACACGAACGTTTGATGCGAAAAATGAAACCTGCGGCACTCTTCATGCCAACCAACTGAGATAATTGGCTTGCTCCCCACGTTCAGTATTGGTAGGGTCTTTGACTCTTTGGCCATCACATGTGTGTGGGTTGTGTGCGGTGTGTGGGAGAGTGCTGACCATAGACACTGATGGGGAAAGTAGATGGGAGGCGCAGCTACTGTCTTTGCGCTAGCTGGCTCCCCCCCTCCCCGGCGGCCCCACCCTACACCCTGACCACCACCAATTAGGACAGGGGGCAACATGCATCCACTTTATTGTTAGAGGTAGCTATGCTTGCAGGGGTCCCCTGTATAGGCTTAGGATTTAATGGTAGGTAGGTAGTGAAATGTGACATTGAGAGGGAAAAAAAAAAAAAAAAAAAGCAAAAGAAAGCAATGCAGAAATGGACAAACTGTTAGTAAAAGATAAGAAGAGTTTTCTGAAGTCCGAAGTGGACCTGGACCCAAAATGACGGTTGGGGTTAAGGTGCAGCCTTGGCCGCTGACAAGATATGTCCAGCCCCCTGGGCTGGTGTAGCCAGGCTTCTGACATAGTTTTGAAATTGGCAGCAGTCACAGGTTTCCAAAGAAGTAGATTTAGGCATAGTTCAGTGGGGCCTTGCCCTGAGACTTTGCTAAGCATCACAATCGTAGGGTCATAATCTCTCTCTGAAAATCAACAGGTTATGCCGACCACCACATGATGGTCGTCCTTGTGTGGGCACTATCAAGACAGATAATGATCTTAAGTCCTTCATTCCTATTCTCTTGGCCAAGTGGTAATGACTGTCACACTTCCTCGCTCCACCACTACAGTTTTGTTTCCGCTCCCCTCCCCTCCCCTCCCTTCCCCTCCCCTGCTGCTGCTCCCCCAAAGTCGCTACCTCCCTTCTATACTGTGCACTGCTTCTTCCCTCTCTTTTGCCACTTCAAGTTTCAGTCAACATGGTCTTTTCCACTGCATCTACCTCCTCTTCTTCCGCACGGTCTAACCCTGCTACCCTTTCTTCCTCCCTCCCTCCCCACTCTCTACCTCCTTTCTATCCTGTCTACTTCTTCTTCTCCTTCTTCTGACGCTTCAAGTTCCGGTCAAGTCCTGGGCCCTTCCGCTCTGCTTCTACCTCCTCTTCTGCCCCAATTACACATGCTACCCCTTCTCTTCCCCACTGATGCATGCTCATCTGAAGATGAGCGGTGCAGATGTCCAAGGAGCGCCAGTGTGATGAACAGGACTCAAAAACAAAACGAGATAATGCAATGTAGCGCAGCAGAAGACTCAAAGATATGACCTGACACATCAGATCCAGACTCGACTCACACAATCATTATCAGACACGTCACACAGCAAGGAGGGAAATCATACACAGAAGGAAGATCGCTCCTTGGGAAATCATACACAGAAGAAATATCCCTCCTTGCGCACACACATGGGGAGAAACCACGGATGATGAAGGGGGAGGAGAGACGAAGATGGAGAGGCGAAATAGGACAAGAGTAGAACTTCGTAGTTGTCCAAGAAATAGTCTCCCCATCAAATGTCCAACCAATGTCTGTCCTCGAAAAATGTCGAATCAGATACTGGGCTCCACGGCCCGAAATAGTTACTGCCTGAAATCTCTCTCTCTCTCTCTCTCTCTCTCTCTCTCTCTCTCTCTCTCTCTCTCTCTCTCTCTCTCTCTCTCTCTCTCTCT